CCTCATTGTAACAGTGTCAGATGTGTGTTCCATCCCATGGAGTGGGACTTAGATCCAATCAAAATGTAGTCATTACCCCCATAATGTTTGTGCCACTATTGTATAAGTGAGCATATCTTACAGGCAGGTCGTTATTATAGTGTGCAGGGCTTGTAACTGGCTGAGACTGATGATTACTTTTCTCTCCAATAGCATGTATAGCACCTTCTAGCACTATGAACACTGGTGGCCAATGGTGATGCTTCCAGCTGAGAATCCACTAGACTTCCCTATGTTCTATTCGGTAATTACATAGTGCCTTCAGCAATGGGGTCTTACCATCAAGTTATAGAGGCTAACCAATAACATAGGCAGCAGCCTGTAATGTTAGGGCGTCTATGGGACCCCTTTTGCCAATGACTCAAAGAGGTGTAATCCGGTCCTGGTACTAGGGTTTTATTTAGTATCATATGATGTCTAGTTAGGGCATTATATCCACCATTGTATGGTAATTCCATCTAAATTCCTTCTATATGTGTATATATTTTAGGAAGCTTCTACAGTAGTGGGTTTTCAAATGGCTTTTCAATTATCCCTCCCTGCATTCACTCCTCTACCGTGATCTCCACTCCTTCAATCCCTTTAACCCTCCTGTTCTGATTTCTCCTTTGTCCCTTTCTAACACTATATTTTATATCATTCAGAAAATTTTAATTAAACTCAGTGGGTCACTCACATATGCCCCCCCCCAAAAAAAAGACATGAAAGTGGAATGAGAGATTATTAGGAAGAAATGATTCAACAGGAATGGGAGAGTCTCACGAAAGGGCAAAGGGGGATGAGTATGATCAAAATACATGGTATACATGAATGAAATGGTCAAATAAATTTTTAATAGTTTTAAAAGAATAGTAAACCTAGCCAACATTCAATTCTTTTCTGCCTTTTAGAATGTTTGTCAGAAGCATAGTTTCCAGGCTTCAGAATTAAAGGAATATGTTATAAATGAATTAAGAACTGCAATCAAAACGTCTAGGGAAAGACATGTAAGTACTAGGAGACTGTCAGGGAAGAGAATGGGGCTCAGAGGAGGGGAGTAACATGGAGGGAAGGGAAGGGAATATGATCACATGATCTGCCTATGTGCAACTGCCACAGTAAAGGCCATTATTTTGCATAATAAATATATGCTAGGGAGAAAAGGTGGAATAGATCAACAGAAAAGCTTCTTAAACTGTGATTTGTCAAGTTATCTACTTTAGTGTGTGTGTGTGTGTGTGTGTGTGTGTGTGAGAGAGAGAGAGAGAGAGAGAGAGAGAGAGAGAGAGAGAGAGCCGACAAAGACCAGAAGATGTCAGATCCCTTGGATCTAGAGTTACAGCTGGTTATGAGCCATTCAACATGGGTGCTGGGAACCAACTTCAGAGCCTCTGAAAGGGCAGCAAGTGCTCAACCACTGAGTCACCACTCTGCCCCTCCCCGTCCCAAAAAGATCCTTGCTCTGACCCATTTCCCTTTCAACTCCATGCACATTGCACTGAACACTCTTCCTACTGCTGAGAAAGTGACCATATGATGGGGTGAGGTGTTCCTTTCTTTGGCCTGCCATAAGCAAAACCCCTCCCTCACTCTGTGACATAGCAAACTTGCTTGCTGAGTACCTGTGTTGTGTGAGCTGGGATATAGACAAGACTCCACTGTCTCAGAGTTAGAATCTGCATAAGACATGCTGCAAAGTCATAGTTCCCATGTCTAAATGCCCAATGGGCTTGGCAGTGAACTCAGCTCTGTGATGATGTCAAGGGTGAGACCAGAGCCGGTGATGACCTGCTTGCCTAAAGACATTTCCATTAAAAATTGAAATTTATCACTAAACTGGTCAAAGAAAACAAGCACCATAACTTATCAACTTTTTTATCTCCAAGTTTAAAGTAAATAAAATAATTTTAGCTCTGTGCATTTTCTACAGAAAACAAAAGACAGGCTTGCATGATAGCAAATACTCAGTGCAAGAGATGGATGCCTAGCCTTTCAGAGCAAGGCAGCCCATGCAGGGCACTGTTGTTAGTGTCTCTGCCAAGAATTTCCAGAGAGGAGCTCAGATCTTGGAAAAAGCATCTTTTCTGGCCTGTGGTTATGATGTAAAGCAACCCCAAGTTCCACCTTGACGAGAAAAGCTATTAAGATAAGAAGAGAAGATTAAATCTTCTATGGAAAATCTTACAAGCCAAAAATAGAGTTAAAAGAGTCAGGTTCGGCACATCCAGGCAGAAGCTGATTAGGTGAAACTGATTTAATAGAAAATTGCTCTTTCATTCTTCATAATGCCTTCCAGAAATCACATGTCATAAACAGTATGGTTGTTTGATTTTTTTTTTTTTTGGTCTAGCACCTAACTTTGATCCTTGTGAGGAACTCAAGTCCAGCTGTGTGCTTTGTACGTGACACTCCTTCAAATGCAATGAAGTTCACATCCTGTCACACAACTTTTTTTCCCATGGCCCCAGTTATATGAATTTAACATTTTGCACATACCCTCAGCAATATGTTTCACATTTCTGGTCATGTCTGTTTGAAACTTACTTTTAAGAGGGTTTTTCTAATGTATGGACCCAGGGGTAAATAATAGGTGTAGTTGCTATGTTGTCTGCTTGTAAGAAGAGGCAAGCTCTTTCTGGAAATCAACACAGGCTTGGTGGTAGGAGCGCAAACTTTTAAATAAAGAAACAGTTATAAATCTCAAAAGTGCTGTGTGGCTTATAGCTCCTGAGGTCATGGTTGTGGTGACAGAGCAGGGCTTCTGCAGCAGCAGAATATTCTCTTCATATTTTCAGGAGAGCACCAGGGTTATATATTATATGAGAATCATCAGACCCAGGAGGATTTAAATGCTTTTTCCAAGACCTCACAACTACATAGAAACAGCCCCGTGACTCTCCAGTGTGCCAACTCCAGCCAGGATTCTTCACTACATTCTGCCTCACACCTGACCCACATAAATAACTCACCCTAGACAGAAGGTGAAGCTATAACATGTATGTGGTAGGTTGCAAAAGGACTCCCAAAAGGTATTTGTCCCCTGGCACCTCTAATTCTGTTGTATTACATGGCAAATGAACTTTCTAATGTTGGGAGCACAAAGGTCCTCATACTCACAGATAGCTTGAGAGAACTGAGGGTTGTATTTTCAAGGAAAAATATATATAACCTGTTTTTCCACCCAGAAGGCTAGGAATAGAGGTGGCTAATAGCCTGGTGAGCTACATTTTCGGAAAGGGCCAGGCCACACCAAGCTCCCACAAGCGGGACCAAAGGTGGCTAATAATCTAGGTGACCTTTGCATTATCTGTATAGCCAGGGACTCCCCCAAGCTCCCACAACCAGGACCTGAAGTGACTAATAGCTTAGATGGCCTCTACACTATCTGCATGACTAAAACCACACCAGATGCCCTGGCCCTTAAGATAATAGAGGTAGCCAACCTATTTCTAGAGTCCATCTTCTTGGAAGAAGTGACTTGTACTTTGAGTTGAGTTTTGATGTGATTATGCCTCCTTGTGCACAGGGGATGGTATTACACAAGGAAACTTATTTCCAAACTGGACTGTGCTTAAATATGCTTACAATAAACTCCTCAGGATCAGATTCTAGAAGTCTGAACCAGCATCGGTAAGTCGTGCCAAACCAGATTTCCTTCTTGTTTCTCATAGATCATTTCTCTGCTGGTCATAGCGTCTGCAGGGACTCCCACATTCCACTACAATTAAATTAAAGACTTTTGATACAGGGAAAGTTCCCAGATTCTTCTGTCAAATCCAGTGTCATTGCAGGGATCCTTGTGACAGAAAACTAGGATGGCTGGCACCAGAAAGGGTCTGAGATGATGGAAGTGAAAGTTAAAATGATGTAGGATTGGGAACTAAAGAATGCGGGTGCACTCCCTAACGCTAAAAAAAAAAAAAAAAAAAAAAAAAAAAAAGACAAAATAATAGGTCCTGCTTAGACCCATAAGACACCATGTAGGCTTGCTGTCACCCTGATTTTAGTCCCATGAAACTGATTTTGGACTTCTGTCCTTCAGAACTGAGGGATAATACATTCATGCTGTGGGAAGCCTCCAAATTTGTTGTAATAATGCATAGAAGTTGTTACAGCAGCAATAAGAAAGTCCTGGAATGTTCTTCTGGCATTGTTTTAAGCAAGGGTTCAACTCAAGAAGAGAACGGGGGCCAGCAAGTAGCTCAGAGGGTAAGGGCACTTCCTGCTAAGCCTGGTTCCATCCCGAGCACCCACATGGTGAAACAAGAGAACCAACTCCTGTGAATTGTCTTCTGGCCTACACACACACATGTGCACAGACAGACAGACAGGCAGGCAGACAGACAGGCAGACAGACAGATGATAGAAAGATAGATAGATAATAGATAAATGATAGATGATAGATGATAAGTGATAGATGATGAATAAAGATGATAGATGATTGATAGATGATAGCTAGATAGATGATTGATAGGTAGATAGATAGGTAGGTAGATAATAGATGATAGATAGATGATATGTGATATATAATAGATGATAGGTGATTGATAGATAGATAGATAGATAGATAGATGATAGATAGATAGAAATAATAGATGATAGATAGATAGATAGATAGATGATAGATAGATAGAAATAATAGATGATAGATAGATAGATAGATAGATAGATAGATAGATGATAGATAGATAGAAATAATAGATGATAGATAGATAGATAGATAGATAGATAGATAGATAGATAGATAGATATAAATGAGAGGAACAGTATCAGATCTCACATAAGCTTTGTTCCTATAATGAATTATGAATAATTACTGGGTGGCCTTTATTCTTAAAAGTTCATGTCCTTTCATTCTACATACTAGTTTCTAAGGAAACTTTACTTTTCCTAGCATATGCTTACTCTTCAATATCATACTGGACTACCTATAGGCGAAGGGAAAAGAAGACAGTATAACAAGACAGAAGTTGTTTTCTCACCGACTGCTACGGCAACTCCATCAAGTCAGCATGAGTTTCATTTGTCGTCCTCAGCATGTGTCTCCTATGTGGTAGTTCAAGATAGCTGCTCAGTCTCCAGGCACCACATCCTCACTGAAACCAGGAGGAAGGAGAACGGAAACGTAAGGCCATGTCTTCGCCCCAGTAAACACTGTATACAGCAGTAGCACATATGATTACATTTCATTTGTCCAATTTGGCCACAAAGCGTGTTTGAAGATATAGTCTTTAACTGGGAATACTGGTTACAGCCCTTTCCTTTATAAACACAGGGGTTCTATTCCTAAGATAACAGAATTATTCATGTTATAGGCCATCAGAAGACACAGCTGCACAACTGAGCATAAGGGTCTATGTTAGAAGCTTCCTGGGGGGACCCGTGTAGGACATGTACTCCGTATTTCGCCTGACAAGGACATCTTACAGATGAGTCCCTTTCGGAGCATTGCCCATTTTGTCATTGGAATCAAGTTCTTTCACCTGTACTAATATACAAACCACTAGTTACTGGATCTTTTATTTATGATGCTATTGGCTTATTCCATTCGGGGCTGCAAATCTACAACTGTGCTTGACCCATCAACTCATGGCAATAACGGAGCAAATAAAGCTCATTTGTGCTATAAACGCTATAATAAGTTTCTACAAAAATAATACTTTGGAGGTGCATTATGTGTGACTTTGCCTAACCTACAGTTCCTGAAGTTTTATATTTAAGGCTCCTACCAGTCCTTTCCTGAGCACACTTTCTGGTCCTCTCCTGGACTTGCTCTCCCATCCCATTTACTGGACAAAACATAATCCATCTTCCAAATGTCTGCTAAACTACAGTGTAGTACCACAGCAACAGCTGAAATGCAAAGATAAAAATTAAGTGTTCAAGGAAGTGGAACAACCTGAACTCTCACACACTCGTGCCAAGAGATAAATTAGTACAACTGCTACCATGGCTACTTCATTGTTAACTTGACCGGTTTGAGAATCACCCAGCGGACACGCTTCTAAGTATGTCTGTGAGGATATTTCTGGAGAAGTTTAACCGAGGAAGGAAAAACCTCCTGAATGAATGTAAGCGACACCAACCATGGGATCCCAGATTGAATAAAAGAGGAGGGGAGGACAGGGAGGAATCCAGTGGAGCACCAGCATTCATCTCCCTCTGCTTCCTGACTGCAGACAATGTGACCATCTGCCTCATGTTCCCACCACCATACCTTCCATCCCTGACAGACTACACCCTCCTAAACCAGAAGCCAAATGAAGCCCTCCTGCTTAAGGTGCTTTTATTGGGTGTTTTGTAACACCAACGAGAAGAGTAACTAAACCACTGTCACTTTGGAAAACTGTGATTATCTAAATCTGCATGTGGCATAAAATAAGACATCACATATATGTGTGTGAATACATATATATCTGTCTAGTATATATTGAAGAATGTGATATATACATATATGTATATGCTGAGGGATATATATATACACACACACTTTTTAAGCATATGTACAGGATTATGGGTGTAGCTCAGGAGTATAGTAGCTTATCTAGCTTATACAAGGCATTGAGTTCAATCCCTGAGCCACAAAAAAGAGAAAGAGAAATTTTAATGGCAGCATTATCTTTAGCAAGCAAAGACTAGAAATAACATCAAATAGTAATGCAAATGAATGGAGGAGTTAATGAATGCTCACAGAGTGGTGTATCATACAGAAATGAAACTAAATGATTCTTACTTTATACCCAACAATTTAGTGACTCTCAACACATATTTGTTTAAAGAAACAAGACACAAAAGACCCCCTATTGAATGGTTCCTCATACAAAAAGCATTATTTATTGCCATGACTACGTTATGCTATTTAAAGTCAGACAGATGTTACTTTAAGGACACAGTAGATGAAAAGAAAATCAAGGCATGCTTCTGAGGTACAGGTTTAGCCCGTACATTCAATTCTTCAGTTTCACTAGGCTGTACATTGACTACACAGCTGCTTCTCAGCTTACAATGGAAGCATGTCCTGATAGGCACGTCATAAACTCAAAGCATTATGAGTTAAAAATGCATTTGATATCCTCAAGCTTTTAGACCACCTTAAAGTAAAAGACTCAGAAATCTAATCATTATACATTAAAGAATGTTTTAAGAAAAATTATGAATATAAAATTAGGTGTGAATGAAGTTTTGTGCACAAAAAAGAAGCCCCCCAAAAAATAGTTCAACAAATCTTGCAAATAAAATAATCACATGATCCAGGAAATAAAGCATAATTATTATTAACTAACTCATCTTTTCTTTTTCAAATTATTTCTTTTTACATCCCAACTACAGTTTTCCCTCCCACCTCTCCTCAAGATCCTCCTCCCACCTCCCCTCTGCACTCCTCCATCTCTATTTGAAAAGGGCAGGTATTGGTGAAATTATTAAGGCAACTCCACGTAGTTACAAGGGAGGTTTATTTTGTGGGGTAACTTACAAGTGAAGGGATAGGTAACAGGGTCTGGGAAAGGTGTAGCGCAGTCCGACGGTGTTCTCTGGAGAACTCCGCTCAGTCTACCTCCAGCATCCAGGGTCCAGGAAGCTCCTCCATCCGGATCTCGGGTCTTCAGGGGTCCTCTCTCGGCTCTGCCTTGTGGGTGTGACAGTTACCGAAGCCTCAAAGCGAGTGGTATTTCCAGGTCAAAGCTGGAACGGCTACCCACTACAGACAGGACTCCCATGGATAGGACATCAAATCGCAGCAAGACTAGGCACCTCTCCTTATATTAAGACTAGACAAGGCAACCCAGCCTAATGAAAAGGGTCCCAAAAGCAGGCAAAAGAATCGGAGACAGCCCCTGCTCCCACTTCTAGGATAACCACAAGAACAAGCTACACAACTGTTACATATATGCAGAGGACCTAGGTCAGACATATGCAGGCTCCCTGGGTGTTGGTTCAGTCTCTATGAGCCCCTGTGAGCCCATGTTAGTTGATTCTGTGAGTTTTCTTCTGGTGTACTTGATCCTACTGGCTCCTACAGTCTTTCCTTCCCCTCTTTCACAGAATTCCCTGAGCTCCACCTGATGCTTGTCTGTGGGTCTCTGCATCTATTTCCATCAGTTCCTGAATGAAGCCTCTCTGATGACAATTGGGCTAGGCACCAATATATGAGTATAGCAGAATATTATTAGGAATCATTCCCTGACTTTTTTTTTTTTTTTTTTTGCCAGTCATGTTTGGTTCTATCCTAGGTCTCTGGGCTATCCAGCCTCTGGGTCCTAGAGTTCCAAGCAGTGTCAAGAGTGGGCTATTCCCTCATGGCATGGGTCTCAAGCTGGTCCAGTCATTGGTTGGCCACTCCCACAAGTTCTGCACCACTTTTACCCCAGCACATCTTGTAGGCAGGACAAATTGTATATCGAAAGGTATGTGGCTGGGTTTGTGTCCCAATACCTCCACTGGAAGTCTTGCCTGGTTATAGGAGATGGCCAGTTCAAGCTCTGTATCCCCCATTGCTAGGAGTCTTAGCTAGGGTTATCTTCATAGATTCCTGGGAGTTTCCATTGCACTAGGTTTCTAGCTCATCCCAGAGATGCCCCCAATTCCAGTTGTCTTTCCCATTACTCTCTCCCTCCATCTTCTCCCCACCTAATCCCTCCTGTTCCCATCTCCCCATTCCTCCACCCACAATGTTTTTTCTATTTCTCCTTCCCAGGGAGATTCATAGTCACCCCTTGGGCCCTCTTTGTTACTTAGCTTCTTTGGGTCTATGGACTGCAGCATAGTTATCCTTTACAGCTAATATTCACTTACAAGTGAATACATAACATCTTTGTCTTTCTGAGTGCGGGTTACCTCACTCAGGATGATTTTTTTCTAGCTCCATCCATTTGCCTGCAAGTTTCATAATGTCATTGTTTTTAACCACTGAGTAATACTCCATTGTGTAAATGTACATTTTCTTTACCCCTTCTCTGGTTGAGGGACATCTAGGCTGTTTCCAGGTTCTGGCTATTATGAATAAAGCTACTATGAACATAGTTGAGCAAGTGTCTTTGTGGTATGATGAAGTGTCCTTTGGGTATATGCCCAGGAGTGGTATAACTGTGTCTTGAGGTAGATCGATTTCCAATTTTCTGAAAAACCACAATATTGATATCCAAAGTGGTTGTACAAGTTTGTACTCCCATCCATAGTGGAGGAGTGTTCCCCTTGCTCCACATCCTTGACAGCATGAGGTGAGCATGTCACTTGTGTTTTTGATCTTAGCCATTCAGACAGGTTTAAGATGGAATCTCAAAGTTGTTTTGATTATATATCCCTGATGGCTAAGGATGTTGAACATTTTTTAAGTGTTTCTCAGTCAACTGAGATTCCTTTGTAGAGAATTCTCTGTGTAGATCTGTACTCCATTTTTAAATATATTTATTCATTTTACATACCAATCACAGATCCCCCTTTTCCCTCCTCCTGCCCCTCCAGGCTTCGCCCCACAAACCACTCCATATTCCCTCCTACAACAAGGTAAGGCCTCCCATGGGGAGTCAGCAGAACCTGGTACATTCAGTAGAGGCAGGCCCAAGCCCCTTCCCCTGTCATAAGGCTGTGTGAGGTGTCCCACCATAGGTAGTGGGCTCCAAAAAGCCAGTTCATGCACCAGGGATGAAGCCTGATCCTACTGCCAGGGATCCCCTAAGTATATCAAGCTACACAATTGTCTCGCTTATGCAGAGGGCCTAGTCCAGTCCCATGGAGGCTCCACAACTGTTGTTCTAAAGTTCATGAGTGCCCACTAGTTTGGTTTGGTTGTCTCTCTAGGTTTCCCCATCATGATCTTGATGCCCCCTCATTCATAGAATCCCTCTTTTCTCTCTTCAACTGGACTCCTGGAGCTCTGCCTAGTGTTTGGCTGTGAATCTCTGCATCTGCTTCCATCGATTACTGGAGAAAGGCTCTATGATGACAGGGTATTCACCAATCTGATTACTGGGGTAAGCCAGTTCAGGTACTCTCTCCACTACTGCCAGTAGTCTAAGGTGGGGTCATCCTTGTGGATTCCCAGGAACTTCCCTAGCACCAGGTTTCTCCCTATCCCCATGATGTCTCCCTCTATCATGGCATCTCTTTCATTGCTCTCCCACTCCATCCCTGTTTCAGCTTGACCATCCCTTTCCCTCATGTTCTCATCCCTCATCTCCAACCCTCCATTGCCCCCTTCATCCCCAGTTTACTCAAGGAGATCTCATATATTTCCCCTTCCCAGGGCAATCCATGTGTCCCTCTTTAGGTCCTCCTTGTTAGCTAGCTTCTCTGGAGCTGTGGGTTGTAGTCTGGTTATCCTTTGCTTTGCATCTAGTATCCACTTATGAGTGAGTACATAACATGTTTGTCTTTCTGAGTCTGGGTTACTTCACTCATGATGATATTTTCTAGTTCCATCTATTTGCCTGCAAATTTCATGATGTCATTGTTTTTTACTGCTGAGTAGTACTCCATTGTGTATATGTACCACATTTTCTTTATCCATTCTTCAGTTGAGGGGCATCTAGGTTGTTTACAGGTTCTGGCTATTGTGAATAATGCTGCTATGAAAATAGTTGAGCATGTGTCCTTGTGGCATGATTGAGCGTTCCTTGGGTATGCCCAACAGTAGTATAGCTGGGTCTTGAGGAAGACTGATTCCCAATTTTCTGACAAACTGCCATACTGTGTGGCACATTGTCAGTTTTAGTTTATTTCTATCTGCTAATCTTTTGTGTCAAATGAGCAAGAAATTTTCATTGTTTTCAATGTGTTGATATGCTTAATTCCTCTTCACTAATTTAATTACCAAACAAGTTAAAAGATGATTACTTCTTCTATTTAAACATATATTTTCCTCCTAATGAAATAACCATTTAAGATATGATCTCACTGATGTTTCACAGGGAACCTCCAAGCTTTGTCAGGATGTGATTCATCAAATACACTATGTATTGTAATATACTAACATGCATAAAACATCAGCTTTATACATAAATATACTCCTGACTTGCATACTGTTTATGTGTCCTATAAATACTAAAGGTCTAACAAATTTGATGTCACACACTTCCTCTGAAAACAATGGATATCATATATTTGTGTATTCTGCCTTGGAAATATATGCTTAACAAGACAGAAATTCTGCTTTGTGGACTTCTGTACTCTGAGACTCTTATTATATCGAGGCTACTCTTAAGGCCCTGGAAATACTCCTGCCAATAGGTATACAGGATTGTTTCTTGTTGGATTTGGGAAAGTGAGGTGATTCCAGCATCAGGGTTTAAGAACACTGTATCCCCCCATCCTGACTGCCCCCAGGTCTTTCCTCTCTTCCTATTGGATAGCATTAGCAATAGTCAGTTTTGAAATTTTGACAACTTCTACTGCAATGGCTTGTGGAGGTGTGGGGTGGTGAGAAAAGCAATACTCCACCATCTTCGCAAGTTTTCTTCACTTTGGAAAGTATTTAAAAGTAAAGACAAAATTCAACTGCAAAATCTTCAAACTTTTCAGCAATATTCAAAAACTGACATTTTCATTGAACTCCTTGGTGAATATGCCCTGAAGGACACATGCTTTCTTTTGGTGATTTAAAATATTTTTGTAAATTAAAGATTTTTTTTTTTACATTAGAATATGGCTCCCCCATGCAGAACTAATCTGCAGTATGAGAAATGAAAACATTGGTTATTCTGGTGGGAGACGGAGGGGGAACGGTAAGTAAGAAGTTGGTCTGGGAGCTTCTATAGTTCTGACTTTATCTGCTTCCTGATCTCAGGGCAAAGTTAACAGGTGCATGTTCTTTATATACACGTAAACCTTCAAGCTGGATGTTTAACATTTATACCCTTTTCTATGGGCACCTTATACTTCAGTTAAAAAAATTTAATTTAATTTAAAAGCAGTATTTTGTCTTTTAAAATCCACTGGAAACGTAAGAAGATGATAGTGTTTTGATGTCCTAATCTCTAACACCGGCAGATCAACAGTGAATCATCAAGTTAACCTACAGAGAAACTGTGGTTCAACAGGAATTCAAAGGAGAAGTTCACAGAGGCCAGAACAGTTTAAAAAAAAAAAAAAAACAGTGCTCCATGTAATTTTGTCATGCAAAAATGGTAAGTGACTATCAAGACATAAGTGTACCATCTCATTATTAGTCTTTCTTTAAAAGTGTGGGAAAACATTCAAAAGATGTATGTCGTGGGGAGATTTGGTTATTATAACAATTCCAATAATGCTTTAATAGTTATGACCATGTCTATAAGGACTCCCGTGGTCTGGTACCTAAGTGATGTTGGTTGCCAGTACTTCAAAGGATACAGGTGAAAACTAAACACATCTGCTCTGCTGGATGGAATAGCAGGAATGTCCTTCCTACGATAACTCCAGTCTAAGAGTAGTCAATCATTTTCCTCCTCAACAAGGATAATCTTCACCGAGAAATTCCAGCCTTTTCTGTCAGAAAAAAAAAACAAAAAAAAAAAACAAAAAAAAAAAACCAAAAAAAACCACTGCAGGCGTGTGGACCCCTGCTCCCTAGGTGGAACTCTTCACCACCTCCTCTCAGTGCTTTCCACCCTTGAACTTGGCGGCCGTATTGCGGCATGGGCTCAGATGGGACTTGGAGGAGACTCTGTCTTACTGGTTGTGCCAGTGCTCACAATGGGCTCACACTTCACTTTGTGAGTCAGACATTAAAGCCCAGCATTGGCCCACCCATTTTCCTCTGTAGAGAAGGGTTGGGATCAAACCCACCCTCATTTTCTCCCTCCAGTTCCTCTCGTATCTTATTCACCACTACTTTTCCCCTCCCAACTTCACGTGCTCTCCTCTCTCTCCTCTCTCTCTCTCTCTCTCTCTCTCTCTCTCTCTCTCTCTCTCTCTCTCTCTCTCTCAATACCTATTGAGCCCATTTAGTGCTGCCTATACATGCATGGGTGCAGGACCATCTATTGAAGTATGAGTAGTCTCTCATGGCCAGTATCCCTGAAGAAATCTGACTTTCCCTCCCCAAGAACCATCAGTCTCCAACACCTCTTAAGATATGGTTGGAACTTCATGAACCCCTTCCCCCACCCATGCTGGGGTTTCGGCTGGTCTGACTCATTCTACCTAGGACTGGAACCCCTGCTGTGAAGATGTGAACTCCTCTATCACATCCATGGAGGAACTAGTTAAGTGCTTTCTCTTGCCAGAGGGGCCCCCTGAGTGGATGGG